AAAAAAAAAAAAAAAAAAACAGGCCACTGCTTAAAAGATCGCTTGCAAGCTGTGCATGTCGGAACGCCACCCTCAGCATGAATAGTCCTGTCAAAGCTAGAAGGCACATACCTCTCGATGGTCTCCGGGTGGCTGCAATGGCTTAGTGTAAGCGAAGACTGTGCTCCGTGGAGTAGAGCTGACCACAATGTGAGCAGACAAGCGAAGGGATGCCGGAGCTCTCTTCAAGGATAAGCTTTCCTGCTGCTGGAGAACGGAAGGTCAATTCCGTTGAGTGTTCCACTGCTTGTGTTTCTCAGGTAATATCCAACCATTGAGTGCTCTGGGCCACAAGCTTAGCAAGCCAGTTGCTTGAAGTTCGTGGACCTTAGCAACGGGATCCTCCAGTGAGTATTGCTCGAACAAGACAGCTGCTTCAGGCCAACACGTATTGCTGAATACTGCTACATCAACTCAGATAGTCAGTCTTTGTTCCAGCTTGATGCACGAGGTTTGGATTTGTCACCGCTGCAGGGCGTACAGGCCTTGTAAAAACTTCGACGGAAGCGCAAGCGTTAAACCTGTACACATCCTTTGCATTCAGATCGCTGGCTCAGGGCTGGCATTTCGATGGCAGGCAACACGATGCGTCGGAGTTTTTCAGCCAGTCATGGGAGCTTGGCAGCCAGTCGTATGGCAAGCTCATTTTTCCGACCAGGGCTGATGAGTCCTGCAGGCACGGTGGCGGGTGATGACTTTCGAGCACCAGCTCAGGTGGGTCCCTCAGATCTGACACAGATGTACGAAGGTTCTTACTTGCCTTTCTTCTTGCGCACGGACTGATGCGGGGGAGAGTGCTGGCCTGCAAGGTTCTGCACTTGTGCTTCATTTATAGGGTGCCCACGCCGCTACACGTAGGCTGGGCCCGCCCCACGTGGAGGCCAAACGCGCCATAGGCGCGTGCAGGCTCTCCAACCAAGGCTATCATTCGCAGCCCTGATCTCGCCATGAGTGCCAGACATCCACGCACCCTGGTGACCCCAGTCCCGAAGTGGTTTAGGCCCGTGCCCGCGCAAGCTTCTGGTGCTCTTGCCCAGGTTCCAAGCAGGGTTGTGGCCTCTGTCTCTAGGAACTCCTTTGTTTCCTGGGCGGTTTAGGCCCGAACCCGCAGCCGCAGTAAAACTGCGCAGAAGCATGTATGGAGGCAGCGCCTACACTTGGACCAGGCACTGCCTGTCAATAGCTGGCGCGGGCTTTCCTGTGCGGTTACAGTAGGACATACCCGTAGCGTGCAGATGCCGCAGGGCTAACCCAGTGGAGGTCTTGGATTAGCTTCATGTGCCTACGACTGGCGTTGCCAGGGATGGGGCAGCTGGCAGGGTCAGCGCGCGCGTAGAGATTTCTCCCGTTTTGACGGTAGTTTTCTCTGTTTTGCTTTTCGTGACTCTTCTGGTCGTACTGTTCTCGTGTGCTAGGGACCTTTCTTGTCTGGTCAATGGGTTTTTGTGTTGTTTGTTTTTTCTTGTGTCAGGGCAACATCAGCACAGCGCTTCACCGATTCTAGGAGTGTAAGGTCAGGAAGTGCCCGCCATGCTCAGAGCACGTTTGGGCTGCGTTCAAGTCAAAAATTCAATACAAACCCCGATATAACCCCAAGATATACTCGGTAATCGAGTAATTACTCGATTATGTTATATTCGTTTCCCTTCCATTTTATATCCCAATACCCTAAACCCCCCCATAAGCGCAGACCTCAGGGTGGCTCCACCCGGCCGAGTTGGGGAGGCTGGGACAGGGGGATATGGGGTTGCCCAAAATTAGAGCATTTTTGGGGGGATCCCTAGACCAAGGATAAAAGTGTTTTGGGGTCTATATTGGGGTCCCCCTATTTCGTGAAATTTCAGTTGGGTTTACAGGATGTTAAAGGTGTGGGGTTCTGCTACTGGAATTGGAGTCAAATGTTCAGACTCAGTTCAAAATTGGGAGTATGGCCAGCGGGGATGCGGCCTGTGCGTGTGTGGATGCGATCATTTCGACGTAGGGATGTGGAAGTAAGTTTGATGAAGCAAAAGGCTCCTGCCGAGAGTGTTGGCACGGAGTAACAACCACCTAGTGCATGCTCACTACTGATGATTTACTACTCACTGCATGTGATAAGGTTTACCACACATTGTTCGTGTGTGGGGGCTGTACCCTACTTTCACCCTCCACTCCGATTCGCACATCGCCTCCTACATTCCCACTCCTACCATTCCTGCACTAGTCCTACTACTATTCCTCCTCCTATTATCTCTCCCATTACTATGGCCGTTACCCCTCCTATTTCTATATCTATTCTTTTTCTACTACAATTGCTCGTACTCATCTACTCGTTATAGGGATCATGGATTGGTCTCATTAGTGTTATTGGGCTTAACCTCTATATGAACCCCAGTTTTCGTTTCACTATCCGTCTCCTTCTCCATTTGATTCTCGATTATTGCGGGAATTCCCCCTCAACCCTACATTCTCCCATATATTATGGCATATTATGGTATATCCCATCATAAATCCCAGAGAATCTCATGCAGGCACTGAGCGCCATGGGGATCGCTGCCCAGCTCGCGAGCTTAATTGGCAATGCTGCTTGGCCAGTCAATTTCCAGAGTTCTTCACGAAGTAAATCAGGTTGAGGGGTTTAGAGCTTAGGCTTGAGGGTTGAGGGCTCAGGATATGCACCCTTAGCTAAAAGTCCGAAACCCTAAACCTGGAGTCTGAAATGGAGAGTGTGCGTTTTTGGCGAATGTCCTTTAGATGTGGGGGGCCAACCCTGAAAGCTGGTGTAGCTTTCCTGAGGAAAGTTCAGGAAAAAACGCAAGGTGTCAAAAACTTATGTTTGTAGGGGCTTGCCGTGAGTCTTGAAGTGCTAAAGTGCAAAAGAAATCGACGCAAGGAGCGGATGGTTCAATTGATTGTCCTAGGGATTCTGTGACACTGACTACCTGATTTTGCGATGATCTGCAGTTTTATCAGCACCTTCCAGATGTTGCATAGTCTTTCTGTCACTGGCTTCGTTCATAGGCCTAACAGACATATTCTGTGTCACTGCCATTGCCGCTGCTTGCTTGACATGATTGATGTTGTGTCGAGCTGTGTTTGCACAAATCCTTGTTGCTCATGTTGCTTGTGTTCATGTTTTCTTCCTCTTCTCAAGCTGCTCGTTCTCCGGCAGCTGCCTGTTCTTCTTTCCTAAACCCTAAACCTGAGTCTTTTGGAGGTTCTGTGTGGTTTTGAACGTTTCACTCTTCCAACACTAGGGTCTCACTTTTCTGGCTTTCTGCACATCTTAATGGAGAGGCTTTTTAACTAGACACCTGGAAGTAAACAATTCTGGGACGCAGCTCCGGGAACATCTGAGATAGCCGTGGCGATCTTGAACAGATGGCTCATGAGCACTGACCTCTATGATCCGTTGTGGTGCCTCGGCTGGATCTAAAGTGGGAATGCCTGAAAATCTGGACCCTAGTCTCTGGTGCTTCAAGTAGGTTCGGGGTTCGGGCTAAGCGCTTTTCAAATGCCTGAGAACCGCTCCACTTCATTGTTGAAAGGGCCTGCTAAAAGTCCTAAAAGAAAGCGTTGGGTGAATGTCTACATACGCTTCATATGTCTGTGATTGTTGTTAGCCAGTGGACCGCGCGGGTATGTTCAGGAGTGAGCTCTCATTGCTCGCATGGCCAACTCCTCTCAAGCCTGCCCGCAAATCTGAAACCCGACTGAGTTCCGACGCAGAACCTGTATTGTGGGCAGCCATGAACACTAGCAACGTGAATATTGTGCTGAAGGTTCTTCCTCTTGCTGGTTCATGTCCAGCATAATTTACTTATTTGTCTATTCTCTGAACACTGCACCTGGCTGCAAGGATCTACTATCCCGCATGCGGTGTGCTGTCGTTGTGCGCCATCATCCCACTCAGCGGGACCGAAAATTTCAGGTTCAGGGGTCTGAAGTAAGGGCATTCTCGAGGAAATCAGTCTCCAGGAGCACAGGTTCAGTGCCTAGCTAAGTTTAGGTTTCGATGTGACATCCAGGAATATCTAGGATGTGCTTGTACCACACTGGGCCTCACTCGTGGAACGTATGCTTTGGTATTGTGCTGACCATAGGCCCATATGCCACATAAGCTCCTGTTTACGAGCTCCTGACTTGTAGGATTCGCTGCCTCAACAAGTAGGGTTTTGGAAAAGAATCACGGGTACCATTTTGGGGGTTCAGGGCTTAGGTCCCCATAAGAAGGATTAGGGCATATTGGGATCTAGATTGGGCTGCCCCTATTTGTGGAAGCTATCAAGTCTCACGTTGAATAGCACAACAGTGATGGCTGACAGGATTTCTGCAGCCCTGGCACCAGCCTGAAATGCTGCAAATATTAAAACCCCCCCCATCCCCCTAATAAAAACAATTCCCGTTGATATATAATAGTGCCATATTGGGGGGGTTGTTATACGGGGGTTGGCTAGATGTTATCCGCAAAGGTTTTCCACCGGTCCAAGCCCTGGCTACTTCCCACAAGGGACTATTGTAGGTCTTTTAAGGCCTTATTAAGTCCATATTGAGGAGCTCTCACTATAGAGATTGACCTAAGGTTTAGTTTAATTCCTTTCCAAGTTCCAAACGCCAAGGGTTTCGTCCGAACCCAGAACAGTTGAAGACAACCATGATGCCCTGTACACCCTAGTTGCCGTTGATGCTATTCAGTTGGCTAACGTCCACAGCCCAACCTGTCGTTCTCTTTCTGTTGAAGTCTCAGACGTCCATGCCAACTCCATTCATCTAGCCGCGCCCTTTAGCAGTTCGCACAGTTCGCAGCGCCCTAGATGCTTCAACCTCTACACCCCTAAACCCTAAACCCTAAACCCTAACATCCATCCATTCTAGCTGAACCTCGGCCTTTGTATACTCAACATTGGGCTTCGAGGCTTCGAGGCTTTCCGTTCTAGGGACAGGGCTTAGGGCTTGGGGGGTCCCAGGACGCCCAAAGGCGGCTGGGGCGCAGCAAGTGGCAGCCTGCAGGACGACCTTTTAAGGGTCCCTAGAATAAGGATTATAGTATTTTGGAGTCTATATTGGGGTCCCCTCATTTTGGGAAATTGCCATATTCAATAACTCCTTCGAAACGGGTTAGCAGACCCTGGTTGTTTGAAGCAAACAAAATGGCCAGGACTTCTTAGAAGTATACGAAAAACTAGCTGACAATCGAGCTGTATGACGCGTGACTGCGGATGTTGGTTTCAGAGTCGAGGGATGGTGAAGATTTCAAGGTTTGAGGTTCGCTAGATCAGAGGACTCTGGCTAAGAGGTAGTATTCAGTTGCCTGACGTCCAAGGATCACGTGGGCATTGCTTCTTCCAGGAAGCAATCATCCGTCAAAGGATAATAAAGCAGATAGGAGGTCTAGCAGTCGCTACCCAAACGTGGGTGGAGGCGTGGGTCACATATTGACCCCTATAGACGTTTGAACAGTTACCAAGACCCGTATGCATATCAAGTAATCCCAAAACCCTCTGCTAATTATTCAGGCTCTACGGTAGGATCTAGGCGCGTCACGTGTTGCCGAATGACTTCTCCAGTGATCTCAAACGTCGTGCTTGCGCTTGTGTAAAAAGCCCAGGACAAGTCTAATGTCACGATGACCATCCTCTTGAACACGTGGGAATGTTCATTCTCCTGCGCGGAATGCGAAGCATGCTGCAAGAAGTTGATAGGTGCTTGTCGCAGCTGTTGCTTACCCGAAGCCTGATCACACGTATGATCCGTATGAATCTCTTCACAGCCGCACTTCTCCCCGGCAGATCCCAGAAGACCTCGGACACAAAGGGCTGACAAAAGGAACTTTGCGGGGCTAACTTAGGATGATCCCTCCAAGCATGCCCAATGACTCAGGAGCAGTTTGTGGCTGTTGTGTATGCGCACAAAGCGATGCGGCGGTGGAAGCGGCAGGCGGCGTTCCTAGGGTAAAGTTGTTCAAAGCTTTGGGTTCGGCGCTACAGGATTGACAGCGTTTATGCATTGGGATTCGGAGTTGGGTGATTTCGTGGGTCATTGGCGGATTCATAGGACCAGCAAGCAACGCTACATAAGTAAAGTCTGCAATGTGCTTCAACTTGGGCATCTGTGCCCACCGGTGAAGGATGTAGCTCATGCTCACGATGCCCCGGCTAAGACCATATTCTCATTGGGACTTAGCTTGGACCTTAGACCCTTAACCCTTTGTGATTCCCTTCTACTCCTAGTATAGGTACCTGAGGGCTAGCCCTCCTAATAAGAGGTTTAGTAGGGGTCCTAAGCGCCACGTAGTGATGCGGTCCGCTTCACGCTGCCAAGGCATGTTCAAGCCCCGAGACATTCGTCATGCAGGTTCTGGCCGCACACAAGAGCCTGATGTGCAAAAGGTATACTATAGTATATAATGGTCTACTATAGTAGATTATGGTATATGATCGGATACTATGGTATATTCTAGTTTATTCTGGTGTATTATAGTATATTATGGTATATGATGGTATCTTATACTATGGTATTTTTGGCCTCCCCTTCTCCACCCCCTCCCTGACTATTTATCCTAGTGTCTTTGCCCTATAAGCCCAAGGCCCGGGCAAGCTGTTTCACTTGCGCCTCAACCTTCAGCTTGCACTCCCCGGTGGTGCTGGTTGAGGATAAAGCCCCGTAAGCTGGCAACTTGCGTCAATCATGTATTGCTCGAACTCGTGATAATCCCTTCGATGTCAGCTTATTAGCAAGTCTTGTCCAAGCATCAAGTAGGAAGCATGTCTCGGTGGCGCTCTATGAGCCTGGACCCGACGTCCCTCTTTCAATACATCCTTGTTGGCCCAAGTTGCTGCCAGGTCGCACGGCGAAGGGCCATAGCCTCAAAGTCATGCGGAATTCCCTAACCACAATGTTTGCTTGTACTAGAAGATTCTACGTCCTTAGCCATGACGGAACGGTGAATCTTCTTTGACAAGAGTCCTTGATGCAGTGTGTTCTCAGAAGTGGCCCTTTCCATTCCTGAGCCTTTGAACTCCTTTGAATGTTGTCAAGGGTCCTTCGAGGTGGTGTAACACATTTCTGGGCGGCTGCTTGATGAAGCATAGCATGCCCAATGCGGAGTGCTAGAACGGCAAAGCAGCAAAATGAAGTCAAGCTGGGACCTTTCGAACGAAATTGTGCCGTGGCCTTCCAAAACATCGCAAAATGTCGAATTTGCAAACATCCGGGCCCGTACTTGAGCCTTCCAACCCTGCCTGTACCCAGGCACCTAGCAGATCTATCTAACTTTGGCTTACTCTGTATAGTCGCAGTGTCCATAGCAGTTTCCGTTTTCTCGTCCAATTGTCATGGGTCCCTTACTACCCCCCTCTATACTGCCCCTCCTTGGTTCCCCCTTCATCAACTTAAATTGCACGTAATTTATCCGGACTTAGGGGGGATGTAGGGGGGTAGTATAGGGGGTAGTAGGAGAACCCATGGTTCTAGAAGATCATCCTTGCATACTGTTCCTGAGCAGAGTCATGTTCCGAATCAGATCCTGGTGCTTCCATGCAAGAGCTTCACTTATGGGGGATTGATCTCAAGGTCTTTAGTATTAGGGAATCCTAAACCCTAAAGCTCTAAAGGTCTTTTGGGAAATGATTTAGATGGACATTTTTTGTGAACAGGAATGCTGATGAATTACCATCTGTCTTGGTGCTGTGCGCATAGGAAGAGAGCGAGCTTACACATTGTTCGCATTACCGTTCGCAAGATGTTCGGCTTTAAAGGCATCTTTTCTCAAACAGGCTACCTGAAGTATGTACACACATTGGCGTGATGTGCTCGTATTTCCCAAAATAGGTTTGTTTTTTTGTCCTCCTCATATACGGCGAGATACTTATCTTCATTGTATTATAAGGATGCCGAAAGATGAAAGAAGGAGTTTCCATTTTCTCGTGTTTTGTTTTATGTGTGTGTCCTTTCCAAAATTGTTTCGTCTGCCATTACGTAACGCGTTTAAACCTTGAGCTGGAAACGCAACTTCTCAGCCCGAAATTTGAGATAACATGCACCCATACGCACACAGCCCACATCGCGAATGGTCTATAGCCACAACACAAAACATGTATCCTTAAATACGTAAAGCTTTAATCTTAAGCCCTGACCCTTTAAAGTCCAGCCAGGGTCCTTCCCCTAAAAGTAGTTGCCGCATGCACTATGGCAGGTTCCATACATAGCGGATCACAAACTTAGACCCCATTGTACTATGATCCTCGAGGGACCCAAAACTGAATCCCGATATCATTACGTACGAAATCCTGAGCCCTCAATAACCCTAAACCCCTAAATCCTGAACCCTAAACATTGCCATTGTGTTGATCAGGCCACAGGGTCTGCCTAGGCAGCTGCAGCAAGGTGCATGGGACACACTGGGTTAAGCTTAGTCCGAAGCCCTTATGCCGTGACTCCTGGAGATTGGGCGTTGATTCAGTTGGACTACTTGCTGTAATTCCCAACGGTATTCAAAAAGGATTGTCTCACTCTTTACATTTCGACAAATGGCAAAGAAGCTGGGCAACGGCTTCAAGAGTTCAAGCACCTGGCGCAGGTGTAGCCTTTCGGCTTAGGGGTCAGGTTTTGCTCTATGTTGAGAGGCTTGCTTGGGGGTCTGAGGACCCTACAATAAGCCCTAAACCCTAAGATTCTGGAAACCATGTGCAGCTTGATGCTTGAAGACAAGCGTCACATCAGTGATCATGAACACTTCCAAAAGTCGTCCAACCACGCGTGGCCAAAAAACGGGCAAGCAGGCAAATGTGAAGGTCTCAGGGCCTGGACAAACTCAATCCGTTACTAGGCGTTGATTAATGAGCTCTACAACCTTACAATCCAGGGCCCCTCAGTCTCCCCACTGTTTCACTTGTTGCTACTATAACGGTCGTGGCTGTACGTATCAAAACCTTGATTGTACTTCGTATGAACTATGGAACTATGGTTCGGGTGGTTGTCAAAAATGCGGTCGCCTTTTTTAGATGCCCTAAACATTCGGGGCCACAACGTTATGGCAACCCAAGAAGCGCAAAATTTGGACAACCCAAGGTCTCCGCAGGTACAGAGAATTATCACGAATAGGTTCATGAGTATGAGACGTGCAAGTTCCTAACTTAGCCGCTTCCGGTTTCTGGCTCAGAGCTGGTTGGTTTTTGAGCCTAAGATTACGAGAGTTGGAGGCTCGCAGCACCGGCTCGGTTGATTTTGCGGTTTCCGGTTCTAGGCATGGAGTGTCGTACAGATGCGCCCAAACATTGGCCAATGAAAATCTGCCTGGAGGTCAATCTCTTCATCATTGGGCAAACTTTGTGTGCAAGCCGAAGACTATGAGGCCATCACCTCTTTTTGTTGCATGTGGTCTGAGCCTGTTTCGCATGAGTATAGAACAGCCGTCTGTACCAAAGACATTGAAGGGGAGCAATGTGTGCAGGTCACTTTGAGAACTCTGCTCATTGCAGCTTCTCTTCAGGGCCTTCACAGGCCTTGCACAGAGGCTTTCACCAATGCATGGGCCATCTCACAGGTGCCTCCAGGGGAGCATCAAAGGACCTCACACGGATTTCTAGGGCTTCAGGGTTTAGGGTTTAGTTGCTTGCTTGTTTCTGGCATAGCCTGCCTCAGGCTTTCGAATGGTTTGGGGCTTAAAGCCGAAAAGTCCTTGTGCCAGCGAGAGTATGCGAGAAGTCATATCTGTCAGCGAGTCAATTTGTACCCGAGTGTAAATCAGGACCTCAGCTAAGAACTTGCAGCAATAGTTCATACATCGAGAAATATCGTTAATAGTTTTCTATATTTTTAAAGGATGTGATCATTAGCATAAACACCTCCAAATATACTACGAGAAAATGCATTCCGGTAACATGTATCATATGAGCTATAGTCTAAATCCTCAAAAATTGCTACATAAGGGATGAAAAAACGGGACCACTATAGGAGAAAAATGGGATACTAGGATTTTAGACCTGAACATATGACACCAGAGCCGGCATGCCAAGGGTTTAGGAGCAGAGCGCGAAGCACTGCACTTAGCGAGGCCAATTTCCATTTTGTTTCAACCCTCAGCTAGGGGTCCAAAACTTAGTAACAGCACCATAACTTTGGCATGCACCTGGTATTGTTAGCACGAATCTACGCCAGTGGCATTTAGATAGTACCTTCTGATTGTGATTGATTTCCTCTCCGAATGAACCTCCTTTCTTGGATGCACGGCCTCATCATATGTTTTAATCGTGGCGCGTCTCTACTAAGAGGGAATTCCTATCGGTCCTGCACCTTGAGAGTTTCAGCCGGGCTAGCAAGGCCAAAGAGTCTCGAAGCCTGAGCCAAGGGTTTGATAAGGCTCAAGGCCTACAGAATTGCATATGAGCCCCTCTCCAGGAGTATCTAGTTCACAACAATGGCCCCTTTTCCCGTCGCACATTGGATGCGAGAGCGTGGACATGCGTGGACTCTAAGTCTATGAAGCCCGACTCAGCTCCAGGTCATGGGGTTCCACTTCAGTAGGTCGTTTAGATCTTGGCTAGGCAGCACTGGACTCGCTTTCATGGTCACACTGAGTACTGCTATGATGATGCTTGCCATACGAAGTCATTGCGATGTGGATGCAATTTGCCTTCTAATGCGGCTTCAGATGCATCAGTGTTGCACGATGGTCGAAGGTTTCAGGGATCGGCGGGGCTACAAAAGTTCGCAGCGCGTTGTAATTACCGCAGTGATGTGCACATCATTCTAAAAATAGTCGAACATCATTGAGATGCATTCTGAAAGCACTGCTGTTTCTGAAATTGCAACTTCGTGTTCTTTTTCGTTGTCTTCTCCTCATAGGACTAACCACCACCACTATGAGGGGGGAAAGCTGCCGCCTCGAATCTGTTGGCTGGTGGCATTGTCACTGCTATCCCCAATCGTCCTGCTGCCAGGACTATTGCTGCTGTTTCTTTGACATGGTCAACAGTCTTGCAGTTCTTCGTGTTATTCCTCTCATGGCCAGGTTTGAGGGTTGGCAGCGCAGATTCAGCGTCAGGAGAGGCCGAGATGTCGTCTGAGGTATTCATGCGAAACCGCGGCTCATGCTTCCGGACATGCCGACATGCCCAGCAGGTGCGAGCTTCTCTGAACGCTACAATCACAAGCCCAAAATTGTAATGCATGAGATTCGAGGACAGGGGATATGCCTGACTATTTGTACCTAATTTCTCCATTCCAGAGATCAGGGACACTCGCACGTACTAATTCACGAGCCCCCTTCGAAAGGAGAGGGCTGCAGCGGCATATTCTGAGATTCTGCGCTGAAAAGCTGCCAAAGTCACAGAGTAGAAGGCTAGTTCTATGCGCAACAAAAAGCTACAGTACTCCCTGATGACATTTGCCATAACCATCATGGGTTCTAAGTTCTAAGAGAAGAAGGAAGAATGGCGGTCATTGCCATCATTATTGCCGAAGTACAACAACAGAAGAAGTTGGAAAAGCAGCAGCAGCAGCAGTAGCAGCACTAGCACCAGCATGACCGCCACCACCGCCGCCGCCGCCGGCGCCACCACCACCACCACCACCACCCCCGCCTCCGACAACAACAACAACAGCAGCAGCAGCAACCACAACATATCACCACCATGGACAACAGCAGCAAAAGCATTCGCAAGGGCAGCATATTTCCCTACATTGATTGTAGGGTTCTAATTATTAAGTGCGTCGCCCGCCACCTGCAGCGTGCTCTTCCGTCGCGCAAACATTTTGGACGCATTGATGTGAAGTTATAAATTGCGCTCTCGCTCGAGACGTTCTCATTTCGGCGAATGTTACGATGTTGTGTCTGGGAGGCCAGATTGCCTTTACTTTGCTCTTGCTAGGGGTGGTCCATAACGGTTTGGTCGCGTTGAATTTTTAAAAATCATCAAAAATCGCGCTCTCGCTCGGGACATCCTGAAAAATCGCCTTTTTTTTACCAAAAATTGACGTTATGAAAACATCAAAATTGCGCACGTGTGTCGGACAATCGGCTTTTTTTGAGCCTCTGATCATTTTTCAAGTCTTGAAGCTATCTTCAAAAATCGTGCTTTCGCTCGAGACGTCCTCAAAATTTTGTTGATTTTATATCGATTTATCTTCGTTCAAATCGATCAAAATTGCGCTCCCGCGCGGAGCATCCTCAACATTTTGATGATTTTGCTTCAAAAATTGCGCTACCGCTCGAGACGTCCTCAAAATTTCGTCGTTTTATCTGCTCAAGAGTGAAGTTCTTCGGGGGTCGTTTTGGTATAGGATTGGTATAGGATCCGTTGGCTTCGCTGTTCGAATGTTAACTGGTTCGCTCAAGATCGTTCTCTTTCAACCAAAATCGCGCTCCCGTGCGGAGCGTCCTGAAAATTTTGATGAATCGATCTTCAAAAATCGCACTCCCGCTCGAGACATCCTCAGAATTTATCGTTCTCTGTTGACCAAAATCGTGCTCCCGTGTGGAGCGTCCTAAGAATTTTGATAATATGATTTTCAAAAATCGCGCTACCGCTCGAGACGTCCTCAAAATTTCGTCGATTTATCTGCTCAAGAGTGAAGTTCTTCGGGGGTCGTTTTGGTATAGGAGTGGTATAGGATCCGTTGGCTTCGCTGTTCGAATGTTAACTGGTTCGCTCAAGATCGTTCTCTTTCAACCAAAATCGCGCTCCCGCGCGGAGCGTCCTGAAAATTTTGA